GATGGAGTTAGAGGTAAACGAGGATGCCTTGTATGAGGAGAGACCGGTTAGAGTTTTAGATACTCGAGACCAAGTCTTATAAGGCAAGACGATTCCTTTGGTAAAAGTGTTGTGGCAACACCACGGTGTTGAGGAGGTCATTTAGGAGCGTGTGTAGAAGTTCGTGAGAAGTATCCAGACCTATTTGTTGATGTTTGAACATGTATTGAAAACTTTGTTATGTTAATGTAATATAAACATTGTATATGTTTTAGAAATGTGAATTGTATATTCAGTAATGAGTATATGTTTATCTTGGTGATGAGAATGAATGACCGGTGGATGGGTCATGGTGATGAATTCAATTTATTATCATTGTGGTGATTGGCTTAGACATGGTTTTAATGTTTGGTTTAAAATTTCAATGATGAAATTCCTTAAAGGAGGAGGTTATAGTGATTCTGGTTTAGACCTGATCCATTTGATGTTTTGGATCCGGGTTTCATTGTCTTATATAGTTGTTCATGTCTTGTTTTCCCTTATTTCTCTTTGAGTTTGGCTATTGGAATGTGTTGGTTGCGTGAATAGGTTGGTAGCTTGTTTTTTAAGTTGTTGTTGCCCAGATTTTGGTTTCTTCACTCGAGTGTCATTTCTTACGCTCGAGAGGTAATTGTAAACTCTCAGTAATTTTTTAGGCTTGCAGAGATACTGGGAGTTGGCGTTCTTCGCTCGAGTGACACTTCTTGTGCTCGAGCGGTGGTCTCCTGTCTATAAAACTTCTGCGAGTTTGTATTCTTCGCTCGAGCGGTAATTCCTGCGCTCGAGTGGTCCCATGTTTTTGTGTTTGGACGCTCGAGAGACATTTCTTGCGCTCGAATGGTTTGCGTGTATATCAATCCATAAAAGTAACTTTTAAGATCAGTTTTTCATATCTCTCTCTCTAAACATTCCAAAAGCCCTAGATCTACACCTTTTCTATCTAAAACTTTACTTCTCTCTACAAATACACCTAGATCCATTGTGTTCTTCACCTGTGCCCCTTTGTTAGAAAGGTCGAGCATGCCATGAGCTTCCTTTTGATCCAGACAAAGTTGGGTTTCGGCGTTTTTGAAGTTCCTTCACTATTTCTCTCATTTTCTAAGTTTGAGGTAAGGATTCTCCTCACTTTCTTATGATTTTTAACTTAGATATTTGTCTTTATAAAACAACATTGTGATTTGGAGGAGTTTTGGACAAACCTAGGGTTTGGCTTGATTTCAAAATAGGGGTTTCAAATGCTTTGTTGGAAATGATTAAGAGAATGTATTTATTGTTGAGTTATGATGAATTAGTGGATTTTTTCCTTTGAAATTGGTTTATAAAGGAATGAGGGTTTTACTTTAAATGTATCAAATGTTGATTTTTAAAGGATAAATGTAATTGATGGTGCAAATGTGGAATTGGGTTAATATTGATGAGGATGGTGGAGTTGGATATGTATTATCACTGACATCTTGGAATTTGAAAAGTTTATCTTTATTGAGAATTGCTTATTTGTTTAGAAATATCTGTTTTGGACTATCGGTGGAGGATATCTATGATTTTTATAGAAATTGCATGAAAATTAGGATAATTGAAACTATTGTCTCATTCATTTGCATCGAGTATTATTTCATTTTTATATATTGGAAATGTTTATTATTCTGAGAAAAATGGGTGAATCTGGGAAGTATGTATTGTCTCGTTGAAATAAGTTGGTCTGAGTGTCCATGGTGAAAGTCCTAAAAACCGCCCGTATACATGGGTGCAGATCTCGCGGATGAAATTTTCATGAAATTGCAATAGTAGTCTTGTAGAGCCTACGTTTACATGGGTTTCAGTTTATAGTTTCTTGCGGACAAAATTGCTGTGAAAGGTTGGAATTGTTTTGAGATTCCCAAGGTGTAATTCATTGCCCTATTTTCTATTGTAAAGGAAGTGATTTATGAATTCTAGTTTTAACTTGGCATTTCTTGGTTTAGGAAAAGATGTAAAATGTTTTGGCACGAGCATTACATTTGCACTGACCTTATATTTTTGTTAAAATTTATATATTTTGTTGGATTATTTGTACTGGGCTTTGGCTCACCGTATGTGGAAAAAACTTTTTCAGGTGCTGATGAAATGCTTCTGCCAAGGCATTAGCTTGGGAGGACCTGGAGCAAGAGTTTCATTTTTTTTTTATTATTGTATATGTTTTGTACAGGCCAAGGGCTTTTAATTGCATTGGATTTAAACCCACTTTTGTTGTAATTAAGTATCGTTTTGAAAAGTTGTAAGCCTTTAGGGAAATTATTATATGTTTTACTTTCATATCATTTGTTTTATTGTAACATATGCTATAGATTTAGGTTTAGAGCTTGTGAATGTGTAAATGCATGTATTATCTTTTGTATAATTCAAATCATATATGAATAGAAATGATATTTATTTTGGAAACGCACTATCTTATTTGGTTATATGTCATGAGCTATCGTTATATTTTCGGGAAGTTACACCCAAAGAGTCCCTTGGAATTCTAGAGACCTCAAATGTGATTTTTGTTTCCCTATTTATTGGTAATGGGGTGTACAAAGTAGATTTGTATAGGGTTTTAGGATTTTTAAGGTTAGGATATGTATTATTTGGGGTGTCCAAACAAACAAATAAAAATTTAAATTTATTATTGGGGTGCTCAAAATAATAGGGTGCCCAACCTACTTTTTGGGTGCAAATAGAAGCTCTCATAATATTTATGTCTTCTTTCATTTCATTTACATAGAAATAGAATCCTTATTTCACATTTAATTTGTGTTTAGATTGGCCTTGTTCGGGAAGTGGCTACTTTTTAGACATTTTGGCTATTTGGCTATTTTAGTAAACTATTTTAATTTTTGTGTTTAGAAAGATGGGTTGGATTTGTTGTTTGATTGTTGTATTGAAAAATGTGTTTGAAATGATGTTGGGATAATAAATGACCAAAATGCCCCTAACATGTGCAACTCCTTTTCCCAAAATAAAAAAAAGTTGCTGCTAATTTGGCATTGCACAGCTTTTTCCTCAATTGTTACCAACGACTAGATCCCTCAATGTTCAAAAGTTTTAAATTTTTGGTTTCCAAATAAACTACAAAAATGGTGTCGAAATTAAAATTAAAAATTATAAAAATTTTGTTTCCAATTTTTTATATTTTTATTTTTTTTACCACACAAAATTATAAACAAATTTTTTGTTGTTGTTGTTGTTGTAAGAATTTGACTTTTAATTATAAAAATTACGAATTAAAAAAATTTACAAAGTACGAATTACAAAAAAATTACAAATTTGTAAGAAATTTGACTTTTAATTCTAAAAATCATGAATTAAAAAAAATAAAATCAAACCAATATCTTTTCCCATAAGCAAAGTCCTGAACAATTTCTTTTCAGTTTTTGCCACCATATTGTGTCCCTAATTTATCATGATACGTGGGACAAATTGTCATATCATGCAACAAATTCCGCATCGAACAACAAAATTTTCACAATAGTTTGTTGACATGCAGATGAACCAAATGGTCGTGGATGCGAACGTGAACTCTCCCTCTATCCACATCTATATCCCCAACTATGAGGCCATTGTCTAGATTTTGTCGTCAGTCTTCAACGTCAGGCATGCCATCCCGAATTGATGAACATTCGACATTTTCGTCTTGGGCATTATCAGCTATTTCTTGTTTGCAGATGAAATTATGTAATGCCATTAATGCACCAACCAATGGCACCTACATTGATGCAAAATCATAGTCCGACATGTTGTTGATGAACTTCCAGCTCAATTTTCACACTCCGAATGTCCTTTCCACCATGCTCCTTAATGACGCGTGCGCCTCGTTAAACAATTCTTTTGAGTTATTGAATCGTCCATGTTTTCGGAATTGTACTTGGTGATACCGAGACCCTTTGAATGGTGCCAAATACCCTTTCTTGTTTGGATATCCTGCATTCACAAGGTAATATTTACCTGTAATTGTTCATGAACACTTTTATATACATATGACATAAACCCCAACTAGTACTCAATTTAAAATTTATACCTTTTCGTGAGTGCGGGAACGGTGCATGTTCATTTTGAATTATTTCGTTGAAGATGTGACTATCATGCATGCTTCTATCCCAGCCACAAGAGATGAAAATGAAGCATAAGTCAAAGTCGCATACCGCTAATACGTTTTCAATTGGATTTGTGACCATAATATGTTTCTGCGTCATGGGCAGGTAACACGGCTTCAACGTGAGTTCCATCCAATGCACCATTACAATTTTGCTAAAATTCAGTACAATAAACATTTGTGTACACCACATTATAGAAATTATTGGTAATGCCAATTGAAATGCTCACCTTGAACGACATATATTTGCCTCTTCACCACAAATATGGATGCCTGTTATTCTAATCTCTTGTGGGCTTATAGTGCTCTTTTATGACAACTTCATTGCATCCAAAACTACATGGAAATGTCGAGACATAGTTTCGCTCAAGTGTTGAAACTGTTCCTGAATGTTTTGGTTATTGAAGCCGTCCAAGGTATGGATGAACTTGGCAACACTTTCTTCAATGTGTAACCCATGGGGTCTTCTAGGTACCCATAAGCCAAAGTCCTTTCGTAATGTATCACACAACGCTTGAAACACATGTAGCAACATATGTAAATTTTATTCACACTTGCCTAAATGCCCATCAAATAATTCTTGAATCCACATATGACAGTTAAAAATTGAAGTCTGGCATGGGGTCTTCTCCATGTACTTCTTGTAACATTCCATTGCATGGCTCGCTGCTTCAAGGATTACGTGGCTTTGGAGTTCTTCGTGTTCTTTAACGATTTTGATTATGTCATCATCATAATCTCGATAGTTGCTAGATTGACCTTTAGAAATTTCTCAAATCTTAAAGCTTACAATGCACATAACACACACATCAATTGTAAACCTATAAATTGAGTATATTTTTTATTTATCTTTTTAAAATAACGATATCCATGCATATATCCACAAATTTTGCCAAACAAAATTGTAATAACTACTATAAAAACCAACTACTAAAGTTGTCAATTCACAAAATAAATTGAGCACCTTCCACAAACCATTAATTTCGTCTATCTACTTAAAACGTTTAAAAGGTAGCATTTGCCTCAATTCACCCATAAAACAAAATTAAAGCAACTATAATAATAATAACAAACTTGAAATAAAAAACAACATAACAACACATCCATTCCATAAAAACCATCCTAACCCAAAACAGTTGGTATGCCTATTTTCTCAGAAACCAGTAAACCCAAGAAGTCACATTCCTTTTGAGTCCTTCAATGCCGCAAGTCACGTGACCAAATTCCCATCATCAGGCATGTATATCAGTATCTCCCGATAATTTGCGTTCTCTAAAGCAATGTAGGAAAAATGGAATAAGGGGTACTGATAAAGCTGGGTATAGCCATAATCCTCTGCATACATGCCTCAATGCCATACTTATGAGATGCACTAGTTTCGTGCCTTACTGTGAGGTGTTTTTGTGACCAAACGGCCTCAGACAGATGGTTGGAACTATCCACAAGCACTAATGCTCCACTTGACATCTTCTTCGACTTTCCACTTGTACTACCCCCTCTTCCTCTGTCCCTGGGCTGCTTCATCAATGTTGACTAGGGGTGATCATGGATTCGTCCAACCTGCTCAAATCGATCAACCTGACCTAACTCGATTGATTTTGGGTGGATGCGTGTCTTTTAACGGATGGATGTAGATGAAATATTTCAAAATCTGCGGATATGGTTTGAATAACGGATCAACCATTCCACACATGCATGAACCCGATCTATCTGTAGATGAAGTTCAAAGAAAAAGAAATAAAAGAAACTACTAACAAGTAACAACATAGAATAGAAATAATAATATATATATTTTTGTGAAAATAAAAAATAATACCTTAAAAATATGCATGCGTGGTGCCGTGGCCTATTATAGACAAATAATACATATTTTTTTAGATTACTAGTTATTGGAGATTGTAAAAGTTATGAATTATAATTCAAAAAAATGGTCAAAGTTTGTAAAGTTCAAACTGCCAAACCGATCGCATCTATTAGCCAACCTGTACGGCCCGCTTAATCTACATCTACCAATCTGGTGGACGGATGTGAATTAATTTTTTTCAATCCACCTAATTTTGGATGGATGGTGGATGGGATGCCATTCGACCTAACTCGATTCGCGATCACCCTTAATGTCGACGTTAGGGGAGTTGGGAGGCGTGTTAAACACCAGTTTGTAAGGCTTCAAAAATGGTTGCAACCTAGCAAAGTCAATTGAATTGGATTAACCATCGCCAACATCCACAACCTTCTCGTCGGGGGTCCAATGATGTTTCCCAATCATAGTTGCACTTGTGAACACTTCTCGCATCCTCGTGCTCCTGGTTTCATATTGAACTTGGCTGTTATCTTGTTTGTCTACAAAATAATTACAAAAAAACAAACAAAAAGAAATCATATTATTGTTGTCAAATAATTTAGTAATAAAACAAAGAATGAATAAATTAATTACATTAATAATGTACTTTGTTGATTAAATACAAAATTAATAATAATAAAAGAATTGAAATATTTGTTTACAAGTTCTGAATTAATTTAATTTATTCAATAAAAGTAATTTAATTTATTACATACAATTAATTTAACTTATTACTTTTCTTTTGTGTAGTTACAGTTTTGCATTATTGTCAGTGGAATTAAATTTTTAAATCCAAAAGTGAGTAAGAATACATGTTTGCATGTATTTAAAGTGTAGAATAAGTAAACATGAAAAGTGATAGACGAGAAAGGTAAGTATAGAGAAAAAATGAAATTCCGAAAATAGACACGAAATAGACATTTATTGTATATAGATTTCAGCTTTTGCCACTACTCTTCTGACGTAGTGAACAACCCGATTGCCTTGTCAAACTCAATGCCGGCGACACCCTAACTGCTGTCCATTAATTTGATCCAAGCCTACTATTCTTTTTTCGAACTAAGGTACTTGTTCTTGAACTATTTCATGTCATGACATCTACTCGTGCGCTTAGCGAATTTTAGTGCAATTCCCTTGTACCCTGCTACATTGATGGTCGTACCTACCCTATGTCCCGCTAAACTTTCATCCTTCACACACTCTAAGAAGATTTCCATGGATGTACTAATGTTCAGAATCATCAACAAACCCTTGTGCGCCCGATTGTCCAACCCTTTTATTTTTAGACGGTGTATGAGGGGACGAAAGTGTTCCAGCCATTAGACTAGTATAAGAGTAGGTATTTTATACATTAGTAGGCATTAGACTACAAAATTTTGACAAACATTTCCAAACAAATACGTTGTGCAAAGAAAATTCAAACAACTTAAAACAAAACTAGTACGATAAATATTAACAAAAGTTAGCGTTTACATAACGTGATGACAATGCACATACTTTTTAAACAAATATCTTAGCTACCAACATTGGAAGTACGCACGAACAGTGTTTACATATGTAATAATAAAATGAAATCCATGATGCACAATACACAAATAACTGTTTTCATTACATGAAATGTTTGTTCAATTTGCACGACATCATTCCGTAACTGCATGACTTCGTTTGTGGATGAGTCATAGTTGGGGCTTCGTCTCCCTAATTTGTCACATCAACCAATCCAATTTACACATTGCTGATGAGTAAGAAATGTAACAATAATTAGTTATGGAATTACAATTTGTAAACATATGGAGTGAGAAATAATCACTTGTTAGTACTCACCACTGGCTGGGGGCAAACGTAATATGCACGATCAGGATTTTTGTGAGATCTCGATACCTTCACAAAACAGTGGCGATAGCCACAGGCACACATTCGTCATGGCCATGTTGACGTGCCAGTGGACATAAAGGAAGCCATCTGTTGTTTCGGCACACGGTAGAATACCGAAGAAAAATGGGGCAATAATGATATGAAAAGTATTTACAAATTGGCCATGTTGTTATGGAAGTACGTGTGTGCACATGTTGCATGTTTTAGTGGGAAAAAAAAAATTGTAGTGCCAAGAAGACAACAGTGGGGGTGCACATGGCTGGGCAATTCTCAAACATCCTATTGAAAAAAAGAGCCTATTAATTTTATACTACATGATTAGGTAACATTTAATTAAGCCTAAGAAGATTTTTACTCTATGAAGCACCGACACGTCCCCAAGGCCTGCATACGAGTGTCGGACACGGACACGCGTCGAATATGTGGTGGACACGTGTCCGACACTCTCTCTAACGTGTCCTCTTTTTTTTTTTTGAATTTTTGCAGTCGGAGATGCCATGGACACGCTGTGACACTTTCCGAACACGCGTGAGGTGGATCGAAGCCCTAACTGAAAGAGAGAAAGAGATCGAGGGAGAAGAGGAGACAGAGAAAGAGATCAAGGAAAGAGAGAAGACAGAGATCGAGGGAGGAGATGAGAGGAGACAGATAGAGAAAGAGACAGAGAAAGAGATAGAGGGAGGAGAAGAGATGAGCCTAACCTGTTCAGATCAACGAAGAAGCTGAGGTATTTGTCTGCTCTCTTCTTCTTCGCCTCATCTTCTTCTCCTTCTTCTTCTCATCCCTGTTCTTCGACTTCTCCTGTTCTCTCTCTCTCTCTCTCATTTCACTTCCCCCTTTTGCTAATTCACTTTCTCCTTTTTTTTTTTTATTTCTCCCGTTTCTCTCTCTCTCTCTCTCTCTCTCTCTCTCTCTCTCATTTCACTTCCCCCTTTTGCTGATTCACTTTCCCCTCTTTTTTTTATTTTTTTATTTCACAAGGCGTAGTTCTCATACTCACTCATCTTGGCATTCCGCTCAAGATCGCCTGGGAGGAGCAGAGCAGTACTGAGTGCCACACCGACGTTTATATCATCAGCGCTGTCGCTGGCAAGGACATGCTTATCTTCTAGAGTAATCTCAAGTGTCCAGGGGACTTTTGGTATTCTGGAGCCCGAGGTCGTCGTAGACGATGACCTCTGCTTCTTTGACTGTGTGGACTCAGAGGGTTGGGTTTTAGCAGACCTTTTTGCAGGAGCAGAATAAGTCTTCTTACTCTCAGCCAATTGTGAAATTGGCAGAGTATCTTTAGTCTCAACTAAAGTGGCTTTAGCCTTGGGCTGAGCCTTTTTTACTCTTTTTGGCTTTGGTGGAGGCATGGATTGGGCTCGAACAGCATCAACGTCGGCAAGTAGGTCGGCTAAGAGATCAATAGCAATAGGCTTCGGGCGACCCATCTCAGCAGTCTTGACAAGTCGTCGCCGACGTTTTCTTTCTGGTATTGGGATTAAGTATAGGGCTGAAGTAGATGGCAGATCAGCTGGGTTAGAAGTGGATCCTTGGTCTGCTCGTGATGTGGAAGCAGTGGGAAGAGTTGTGGCAGAAGGTGGAGAAAGACTCTTCTTCTTCTTCTTCGGGACGTCGGGCAGAGTGGATTTGTACGTAGGAATAAAGTTCAGAAGAAGAGATGCTTTCCTTTTGTGGACAGGCAAGTTCAGGAGCCTTTTCAGGTCCTTGCTAGGAACGTAGGATTGGCGAAAGTCTTTCGCTGGCTTGCGAACGTCTACAAAAAGAAACAGACATTAGAAACAGAGTAATTCATCAAGGCAAAATTGTGTTATAACTTATAAGATGAGAGTAATCTTTTATTACCCAGTTATGTATGCATCAAGGCAAAATTGGTCAAAGTTAAAAAAAAGGAAAAAAAAAAAAAACAAAACACAAAAAACAAAAAACAAAAACCAAAAACCAAAGGACCAACTCATGGCTATTTTTATGTCACTAGCTATCATTCTAGTTCAGTGACAGTGCATAACTTTGTGGTCTAAATTTGCATAAATTCCCAAGTCATGGCTCTACATACTTCCAAGAACTCATCCATTTGACATCTTGATAACAATTCACAATTCCTAAAATAACAATACATTTATTAATAAAACATATCAGTGTAGACTTTATGAAATTTCAGGTTATCAAGAAATGAAGAATTAGGCATCAAGTGCCGCCAAGTAAACTCTGGTCCATTCTTGAATTGCATAAAAGACCATTAAAAAAATAAGAGAGAGAGAGAGAGTAAAAAAAAACACCTCACCAATAAAATGCAAATATTTAGCATTACATATATGGTTCATCAAAAAATTCAGTGGGTATTAAGGATCGACGGTTACATATAAATAAACTAAGAATTAGCCATCAAGTCTAATCAAGTTCCACATTCTTCCTTTTTCAATGCTCTTCTTTTCTTTGTAATTATAAAATTATAAGTATATATAATATGACTTTAGTAACCCGAAAAATGTATATTAATTTAAATATTTTTACAAATTACAATTTATATTTTGTAATTATAAGAAAATTATTAAATTGTAATTATTTATTTACTTGGTGAAAATGTAAACATATTCTTTTAATATTTATAAATGAAGAACCTATTTTGTCAAAAAAATAAAAATAAAAAATAAAGTGAAAAAAATAGAAAAAGCTTACATGTTTGACCGAGAACAAATCTGGGTTGTTTTGCCCAAATTCAAACTCCTGTAAAAACTTCAACAACAAATTTCGAACATGAAAATCAAACAAGAAAAAAGAAAAAAAATTTAACATGTCCAGGTCGGCCTATTACAACAAAATACCATCAATGCAAGACAAAGTACAGTGCGATTTGAGTAGTGGAAGAAAAAGGAAGCCAAACATCTGATAAAAGAGGAGGAAGAACACATATCAGAACGGTTGATTTACCTGTCAGAAGTGTTTGACGGTCGGCGACAAAGAGAGTTGGTATAATAGTCTTGGACTGCTGCTGCGTTGGTGGGTTTGTCAAATATTTAAAGGGCAAAATTGTTATTTTATTCTCTGTGAAAAATGATGTAAAAATTGTGCGATCAAATAAAACAAATAGATTTATAATTACCAATTTAAATTTTAGGGAAAAACAAAAACATTCTGAACATTACAAGTTTGATAGGAATACATACTAATATAAAATAGCAAAAAAGCAGCAAATCGAAGCCTACACTAGTGCTGAAGGTTCTTCGACGTCTGTCTCCTAGGATATGATGATTGGACCAGCTATAACAATACACCTACTGAGTAGATTTGGCGAACAGAACTACGACAACACTCTCTCACTAAGAAAAATATAAAACTTGAGAAAAACTTTTGAATACAGGAAGAGTAAATTTTTTGGGTAGAAAACTGAAGGAGATGGGTCTCTTTTTATACACATGGAATGGGAGAGAGGAGGAGCCTCTTGTAATAAATGCAGAAATAAATCTCTACCAAACTATCCAACAAATGCACCAAAACTGATGGGACTTTAAGTGTGTGAGTTACACCCTTCATATATACACATGTGTGTATATCTGCGGCCACCAAACTGGCATGGCCCAAAAAGATTAGGTTGGTGGATTACCAACTCGGCCCCAGCCTAAACCTAACCCATTCCAGCAAGCTTCAAGTCCAAGCCCAAGCCAAAGTCCCAAGATCCACAATCCATGATCCACGACCAACCTGGCCCGGTCTGGTCTGGGCAAGCGGGTGGACAATGCGTGCCTGTGGCAATTTTTTGCATGACCAACTTGGATCATAGTTTTGGCCCAAGCCCATTCTTGAAGCATTCATAACTCTCTTCCTTCGAAAAATTTGGATGCCCCAAAAGGCTCACACCCCTTAGGCATAAAATGAGATTTAAAAACCCATCAATGCTCTCTTCTACAATCAATGTGTGATAGAAGGTTACACACCTTTCCCAACACCTCTTTCATGAGGCCAACCTAATGAATCAATTTCTCATTCAAATCTTAATGATTTTTGGTCATTCTTTTTGTGGTGTAAAGATCTCATTACAAAGAATCTAAACTCACTTTAACCCACCTCAATAGAGGATTAAGACTCACTTTAATTTCGCATTAAAGTCACCAAGAAACCATTATTTTCCAACAATCCCCAACATGAATAAAATTTGACCGAATAACAACAAACAGACAGCGCTTAACAACAAAGACTCAGCAAGAGAGTGTAACGGAATAACCCTTACATCCGAAAAGGTAGCTTTTGGCTTTGAATCCTTCCTAGTGAAATCTATCGAATTTAGTGGCTGCCCAGTGAACACGAAGTCTTGAACTATGCTACCGTTTATGTAAACCGAGACAACAGACCTCACACAGGTATTCCTCCAATCATTGTTTTATTCTCACTGTTGTGTCCGATTTGGCCATGGAACACTAGCCTGGTTCAGTGAGTGGTTTAAAGAATTTGGCCTTCTCAATTCTTATAGAAGCGGCCCCACTTCGCACTCACATATGTGATTCTACTTGAGTATCCTGCTATACTCAGCTCAACAACTCAACACTTCAGAATTATTAAAAGCTCAGCTTAACCTCTACACTTGCAGGTATCACTGATAAAGAAATGGTTGGAGGTTTACCCTCCTTAGTGACATACCACCATTGCACGCAATTTGGTTGTCCCGTTAAACTTAGATCTTGGGATCTTTAGTCAACTAGGTTGGGTTTCCATTTCAGTAACACCTTACACTAAAGGCCTTAAACCTATTCCTTCTGATGACTTCTCTATTAACAATTGATTTAACCCTTTGGTTAGCGGATCCACAATGTTGTCCTTAGACTTCACATATTCTAAATTGACAATTCCGTTCGAGAGTAGTTGTTATATGGAATTATGTTTACGACGAATATGTCTAGTATTTCCATTATACATATTACTCTATGCTCATTCAATAGCCGATTAGCTATCACAATGAATACAAATGGCTGGCACAAGTTTCAACCAACATGGAATATCTTCAACGAATTGGCGAACCCATTTTGCCTCTTCTGTTGCTTTATCCAACGCTATAAACTTCGATGCCATCGTTGATCATGACATACACGCTAGCTTGGAAGATTTCCAAGACATGGCTGCTCCTCTAAGGATGAACATATGACCACTAGTGGATTTCGAATCCCTAACATCAGATATCCAATTTGTATCGCTATAGCCTTCTATTACTGCTAGATATCTGGTGTAATGCAGCCCATAATCCCGGGTGAAACAGAGATACCTTAACACCCGAATGATACATTTCCAGTGAGTGGCATCAGGATTGCTCGCTTATCTACTAAGCCTGCTAATAGAGTAGGCTACATCTGGCCTTGTACAACTCATCAAATACATCAAACTTCCAATGACCTAAGAACATTCTAGTTGAGAGACACTCGCACCATTATTCTTGGTTAAGTGTAGACTCAAGTCTACTGGTGTCCTAGACACACCTGTATTTGATTTACCAAATTTCTCAAGTATTTTCTCAACATAGTCAAATTGAGAAAGCACAATACCATCAGATGTTCTGGTAATCTTAAAACCCAGAATTACATTTGCAAGGCCCATATCGTTCATGTCAAACTTAGAGTTTAATAATCTCTTGGTAGTTTTAATCATCTCATCATTACTACCAACAATGAGTATGTCATCAACGTATAAACACAAAATAACATAACCTCTGTTAGTGTCTTTGACATATACGCATTTGTCACACTCATTGATTTTGAACCCATTCGACACATAGCGTTGTCAAACTTCTCATGCCATTGCTTGGGAGCTTGCTTCAAATCATACAATGATTTGACAAGCTTACAGACTTTCTTATCTTGTCCTAGAGCTGAAAACCCCTCGGGTTTCTCCATGTGGATTTTTTCATCTAAATCTCCATTTAAGAAAGCTGTCTTTACATATATCTGATATATCTCCAAACCACGTAAAGCTGCTATCGCAATCACCATGCGAATGGAGGTAATCCTTGTCACAAGTGAATATGTATCGAATTAATCTAGGCTTTCTCACTGCCTGTATCCTCTGATAACTAGCTTAGCTTTATACTCATCAATTGATCTATCTGTTTTCATCTTTTTTTCAAAAGATCCATTTGCTCCCCGAGGCCTTACTGCCTGGGGGTAGATCAACCAACTCCCAGGTATGGTTTTGTAAGATGGAGTCAATCTCACTCTTAATTGCTTCTTTTCACAAGGGACTTTCAGGTGAAGTCACAGCTTCATAGAAAGTTCGAGGTTCTCCCTCTAACATGTAAGTCAAGAAGTCCGAACCAAATGACTTTGCGGTCCTAGCCCGTTTACTCCTCGGTTCATCTACTTTTTCATCTTGATCATCGACTTGATCATCTATTTGATCATATATGTGATCATCTACGTGATCATTGTCCCTTCAACCTCTTTCATGGAACTTGGAACCCTTTCTTGGAGACGACAAGGAAATACATCTTCAAAGAAAGATGCATTTCTTGATTCTATGATAGTATTTTTGTATATATCTGAAATAGCAGACCTACACATAAGAAATCAATATGGACTGCTATTATGTGCATAGCCAATGAATATACAATCCACTGACTTCGAGCCTATCCAAACCTGCTTGGGTGTAGGCACTGCCACTTTTGCAAGACACCCCCTACATTCGTAGGTATTTATATGAAGTCTTGTGGCCTTTCCACAATTCATATGGAGTCTTGTCTGTATTCTTCCGAGGTATTCTATTAAGAATGTAATTCATGGAGAGAATTGTTTCCCCTCACAGGTTCTGTGGTAACCCAGAACTTATTAACATTGCATTCATAATTTCTTTTAATGTCCTATTTTTCTGCTTAGCAACACCGTTTGACTGAGGGGAATAAGGTGCTGTAGTTTGGTGGATAATCCCAAATTGAGCACAAATGTCAACAAACAGGGATTCATGCTCACCACCACGATCACTTCTGAAAGCCTTGATCTTACGGCCTAGTTGATTCTCAACTTCATTCTTGAAAAGAATAAATTTATCAATTGCCTCATCTTTACTATTAAGCAAATACACATAATAGTATTTAGTGCAATCATCAACAAAAGTGATGAAGTACTTGTTGCCACTACGTGATTGTACGACTTTCAAGTCACACACATCACTATGTACTAAATCTAAAGGCTCGATATTTCTTTCAATAGAATGAAACGAAGTCCTTGTCAATTTTGCTTCTACACAAGTTTCACACTTGTGATTTGGATTAATCTTGAAATATGGTATGTGATCTAGTTTGATTCATCTACTCAAAGAGTCAAAATTTACATGACCCAGTCTACCATGCCATAAATTAGGAGACTTAAGCATATAAGCAGCAGAAGATGAAGTTTTCTCATTAATTTTAGGGATAAGAGTCATTACATTGAGCTTAAACGTACCATCCGACATATACCCCTTCCCCGCATAGACCTTGCTCTTGGTCAACATGACTTTATCAGCTTCAAATGCCATGCAGAAGCCATACTTACTTAAGAACGGCCTTGAGACAAGGTTCTTACGAATGTCCGGCAAAAATAGGACATCGTTCAGAGTCCGCTCTTTTCCTGAAGTTATCTTCAGGACAACCTTGCCTTTACCCTCAATAGTTGAGGTCGCAGAATTCCCCATGAACAACTTCTCCCCGTTTGAAATTGGTTCAAAATTTGTGAACATCTTCTTCTCAACACAGATGTGGCAAGTGGCCCCAGTGTCCACCCTTCATTCCTTCAGGTTAGACCCCACCATGTTCACTTCTGAGACAACAATTGACAGATGCATGTCGTCCACATCTTGAGACAAATCCTCCATCTCAGCCATGTGAGCCCGACTTTTATTTTGTGGAGGGTTCTTCTTGTAGGGTTTCTTCTTCTTGCGGCAATCAATTGCCCGATGGACATCGTTTCCATAGTTGATGCACTTTCTATTGAGCCTATAAGTAGGTTCCTACAGCTTGTAGACTGGCCTCTTGGAGATTCCACCTCTAGCCCCTAACTTTGAGCTTTTTCCTGTTGGTGGCTTTTTCTTCACCCCCGAGGACTGGCCATGCTCAACCATGTTTGCTTTCACAGTGGAGGTACTTCCCCATTTTTTCTTGTTGTCTTCCTTAATACGGAGCTTGACAACGAGCTCTTCGACTGTCATCTCCTTTCACTTGTGCTTCAAGTAGTTCTTGAAGTCTTTTTAGCCGTTAGGCAACTTCTCAATTAGCACAGCTGCTTGGAATGATTCACTCATGAATATTCCCTCTGCATGAATCTCGTGCAGAATTACTTGGAACTCTTGGACTTGACTAATGATGGTTTTTTGAGTCCACCATTTTGAAGCCCAGAAACTAGCCAACGACA